AAAAAAAAAAAAAAAAAAAAAAAAAAAAAACCTTAGAGAATAATATGAAAGAAATGAAGTATTATCTTTTGAAAGAAGTGGAATTTGAGCTGAGTCTTGAATATTAGATAGGATTTTGATAGCCAAAGAGAAAGAAAGGAAAACTTGGAGACATGGATAAAACACAGACAAATGCATGGAATGAGTGTGTCTGAACAGCAAAACTGTGTTAACAATGAAGAGGCAGCTGGATTTGAGTGATGGAAGCACCTTAGTAACTAATGAGAAATACAATTGATGTAGTAGAAGAAGTAGAGTCATTGGAAATTTGAGCAGTAAAAAAAAATATGTTTTAGGTTTAGTCCTCCTCTAGTATTCAGGATGGATTGGAGGTGAATAATAATGGAGTCACAAAAGCATCAAAGTGATTAAATTGAATTTGAGCAGACACATGAGAGGACAATGGGCATTTTGGCAGATTATCTCATAGGCCATTGAAGGAACAAGGAAGGAGCCTGGAAAAGATGACAAAACCATAGATTAGAAGTTATTAGCAAAGAGGTCATTTCTCAAGCCATGAGGGAAATACAAAATATGGAGAACTGTGGGTCAGTGCTTTAAATCTTTCCATTGTTAAAGAATCAGCCCAATTAAGAGAGTGGCCCAAAAACCCAGAAGGTAAAAAGGATTTAAATAGCAAGTTAGAAGACCAAAAGAAGCAAAAATACCACATGCTTTCAATGAGTGAGCATGTAATTAAGTGGACAAGAAGGATATTGATGGCAATACTAACAAAGTAATTTTTTTAGCATTATAGAAACAAATGCAAAATTTCATATCTAATTAAGACGATGACAACTTTACCATAACCATGACTGTTGGGCCATTATCTGGTTAGCTATTTTTCCTATCTGATGAATCAACTTGAACACAGTGACCAATTTAAAATAAATGATCCAGAGATCCAATGGTTCTCAACTTTGATTTTACATTAAAATCACCTTGAGAGTTATTAAAAAACAAAAACAAATAAACAAAAAATAACTGATGCCCAGGGTCCTACTTTAGACTATTTGCAGTAGAATATCTAGGGATAGAACCAGGAATTTTTGTTTATTACAGAAAGATCTGTAGCTGGTTCCAATCCACAGTGGGTAGGAAAAGAATCATTGCAAGGTTTAGGTTTTTTCTTCTCTGGAGTCTCTACTTAGGCATTATTCTTTTCTTAAAAAGAGAAAACAAATTAATAAAGAGCAAAAGAATAGAAGTTATTCTCCAGTTCACTGCAAGGTTGAATTTATAAAACAACATCACTCAGATGTTTCAGAAATATGTGGTTTAATAATCTTCCCACTAAAAAATTTATTTTGAGGATTTAGTTATTCAATGTGATCCCATTCAGTGAAAAAAAATGAATAAATCTTTCAATAATTGAGTGCTCTGAAGAAACTG